TGCCCTCCAGGATACGCCCTATTCCCAGCAGGATCCACCCYAAACCTGGAGCCGCCCTAATCCCTGAGCAAGGTCACCTTTCAAACCAAAACTCTCAAACATTCATGCAATGTCACTGCAAATGACCTGGGTCCAAGGCAAGCCCATTTCCACAATGGAGAGTCCTCCCTCTAAGCAACTTTAGGTAGGCTGACAAGGAAATTGCCATGCGTCATTCCTACTTGGCTATGGCTCTCAGCATAAAATATTATAACAATATAAGTTATAACAATACTAAAATAACAAGCTAAAATGTATGTCATGCTAAGATTTTAYGTGATTATCTCTGATGTAAGATTACAGATGCTTTTTCTTGTTTTCATATACTCTTRTACTTCCAATTTTTTATATCACTTAACTATTAATATAATAAGGGAAAAAAGTGAATGTAAGCCTTAGGGAGCTGGGAGGTGAGTTCAGTAGGAACTTCTTATCCAGCCTTCTGGTTTCTCCCTTTCTCCACCCTCTCAGTGGCTTTTAAATTTTTGTCTCCACCCTCCTCCTATTTTTCTCTGCTCTTGTTTCAAAGTTGYGATGGTGGCAAGGAGTGGCTGTCCTGGGATGCCTCCCCAGTATCTGCACAAGGCCAGCTGGAAAGCCCCATATGCCCTGCAGTCAGGGGGCCTCCACCTGCTGCTTGGTGGAATCACCAGGAAGTTTTTAAAAATACTGATCAGACTCTCCAGGGATGAGGCCAGGGCATTGATGGTTTTAGAACTCCCCAGGACCGCCTYTGCTACAGCCAAGACGGAGAACCCTGGCTTAAAAGTGTGCCAGAGCCATTTTTAGCATTTTAAAATAGACATGTTCCTGGGGCCCCAGCGGAGACCTGTGGTTTAGACCTTTTGCGATGAGCTCCCGGCATCTTTAGATTTAACACGATCCCCAGGACTTTTGTCAGCTGCCTACGAAAGTTCAAGGGCTCAGGACATAGATCATTTCTCAGGCCCTGTTTAACTTTGACAATCTGTGGTTTTCTGAGAAGGAGCTTGGGGGTTCAAACAAACAGTCCTCTAGGGTGAGGCTGAAGACCTTACAAAGAGGGCAGCCAGGCAGCAGCAGCAGCATCTGAGAAGAAAATGAACTTGCTCTTTTCAGAGCTCACCCAGCCTCCCCTCCTCCACCAACAGCAGACTCCACCCAGCCAGCCAGTCACCTGTGTCCAGGGAAAGCAAACATAGGTCCCACCTACCTTTGTATCTGCAGCCCCAGGGCAGGGAAGGACACAAAGTAGATACCCAGACCTACTTTGACAGATTGAATGGATTAATGAATACATTGTCACAGTTTTAAAAAAAAATGCTACCACTCCCACCCTTACTTTGGACCAACTGAAAAAGAAGGGAAGGTCTTTAATAGTTTTGGAAATCTCTGGTTCTAATCTGCAGCCAGATGGAAAACTGCTGCTATAGAGCATTGCTTCTCAAAGTGTGGTCCAGTGGCCTTCTGGGGTACTTACTGAGGTGCAGAATGCAGCCCAGCTCCAGACCCAGGGAGTCAGATCATCTTGGGGAATGAGGATAATATGGTACAGTGGTTTGTAGTTCTGGCCCTGGAGTCAGACCAACTCGAGGTTGGAGACTGATTCTGTCATTGATTAACTGGTTACCTAGCGCAACCTAAGCTGTCTGTGTTTCATTTTCCTTATTTCCAAAATGAGGACCTCACAGATTTGTGGGGGGGGGGGATAAATGAGATAATGGCAGAGAATAAGTTCTCCATAAATGTCTGTTGTTCCAGGAGTGGACCCCAGGAAACCACCTGGCTGGTAAGCACCTGCGGCCCAATGCAGGCCTACCCTGCTCCGAGTTGCAGGCAGTAAGTAAAGTACTTCCCAAACCTGACAGCTAGCAAAGTGGAGCCTCCTCCTCAGGTCATGAGCTAACCTGGCCATCATCACAGGCACAAAACAACCAGCTCTTACTTATTCTTGTATATCTTATCTTTACCTCAATCAAATTATTAAAAGCTGCTTTTAGACTGGGTGTGGCTTAGTGGTCAAWCACTTGTCYAGCATGCACAAAGCCCTGGGTCTACCCCCAGCACCACAAAAAATAAAATAAATTTTGCTTTTGGTTTAACTTATGGCTCCATTTATATACATTAACTGTTTTAAACTTTTAAATTTCCAAATTTCATTATAAATTCTGATGGACAGAAGATGGGCCTGGGAGCCACCACTGCATGGCTTCTTATCAAGCTCTGTTCTCACTGTGGGACCTTGGACAAGTCAACACCCAGGAACGCCTACTGGTACTACTATCATTACATACAGGCATTATAATATTTGCTGGGATTTTATTCGCATAACCAGTTAATTTCAGAAGTTAAGGTGATCCTCCAAGAAGATGCACCATGTCTCTGATATGTCTCTGACCTCCCCAGGGCAAGCCACAAACCAGCTGTCAAGACCCACAGTCCTAGAAAGAAGATTAACTTGGGCAGTGTCCCTGGCCCTCACTGGCATGAGCCAAATTAAAGGGCTTCTTGGCCTTGTACAGAAATTCAGCATGAAATGAAAGGGTAGGATCCCAACCCCAAGCTCTGAACCTAAAGATCTGACCCTAAAGATCCGTCCTTTAAAAATCCCCCTCTGCACCAGCTCCCTGATCCTAGGCAGAAGGCTCTAATTTCACAGTCTCTCAATACTTTTGGGCCTCTTGCCCTTCCCCTACCCCAACTCTGAGTTCAGAGACTAGTCTGGAAGAGACCTGCATTCAGCCTCTCCTCTCTTGTCACCAGAGTTGAGCCTATAAAAGAGTTGGAGCCACCTCTTGTCTTTGCCCAATGTATGCCATCCAAATCACATACATGTGCTTCTTTGTCCTTGGGTAGTATTATTCCTTATGCATCGGAATGGGTGTCTGAATATGATTTATTCTGTGCAGGCGGGAGAGACAGACTCCTCACAAGGCTGAGCATATCTCCCACCCCATGGCTGGAGAGGAGGGGAGAGGTAGGTGAAAGAGCAAAGCCAGGTAGTGATATATTCGTTTCTCCTCTCTTTCCTCAACAATTTGCTCTTCCTCTCTTTGCCAATTTCTGCAGAATGGAAACATAAGAGAGGAGAGGTAAGATAGCAGACTTGTAGGTGTACATCCGGTGGGCAGAGGTCAGTCAGCTGGGCTGGGAGGAGGCAGGGGCAGGAAGTGCACTTCAGGCTCCTGCAACCCTCAGCAGGCAGAGCTGATGGCACAGAGGCCACCCTCCTCTTTGTCAGGCTTGGGCCAGGCTCCAAAATCACATCTTCCTTTGTGGGTGGCTACCACCCACTCTATCTCTTGAGGTTCTCCTATACCCTAAGCTCAGTTTCAGAATCTTCCCAGAGTTCCCCTTTCTTGTAGTGCCAGGAATCAAGCCCGAGACCCTTTTGTAAGGATTTTACTGCTGATCCTCACTAGCAGCTCATTAAGTACTCAGTCTACAGCTGGACTTGTTGGGGACTCCCTTAGACCCCGAGCTTCCTCTTTCTATACTCAGGTAGAGCCCCTGAATCATTTCCTTCCCTCCAAGACCCCCTCTGCCCTCCAGCTTTTTAAGACCCTTCATAAGCTCAGGTCCCCTCTTCTAGTGTGCAAGCCACGAGAGGCCTCCACAGTGTCTATTCAGGGTCTCATTCTTGACCTAGTGTCTATGTCTACAAGGTCCCCAGACCCACACAGAAATTGTCCACTCAGAGGAGCACGAGAAAAGCCCCCTACTCTTGTACCTGGATCCACTCCAACAATTTACTCATTTTAAGGGCTGGAATTCTCTCAAAAGTTGATTGCAGAGTTTATACTTTGTCCCTGTAGGTCTGTTGGCCTTACAAACACTCCTTCAAAGGAACCRTATTAGTCACCTTAATGGGCAGATTCTTATCAGACCACTTTCTTCAAAGACTCAAGCCAGGTAATGTTGAGGGAGCTGGGCAGAGCCAGGAGTGGCTGMTGGAATGGAGGATCACAGTGACCAGCATTAAAGTCCTGGGTGTCACCATTTTCCCAGGGCAGCGTGTTCTACAAGGGAAGGCAAGCGCTGTGTCCTTTACTGAAGATTGAAAAACCCGGTCCACTCTGTGATTCTGGTGCCCTCGCCAATCCCAGCCTCAGATTCTGGGAGACCCTTGGCTTTCTTCCCTGTCCCTGGCCAAGGTGGCTTAAAGCCCTGGACACCCCGTGTTTATGTCAACAAAGTGGTTTCCAGAGGGGGCAGACTCTTGCCCGCCAGGGGGTGTCTGGTGCCCGTAGCCTGTTGTTTGTGTACCTTGTCTCAGTAGTGACCGAAGGGGCAGGCACGCCCGAGCTGTCTCTGGGGCAACACTCTGTTGGGGTTCCAGCTGTCCCTGCACATAAAGCACTGACTCCAACCATGCACCCCCAAGGTATCTTCTTTCAGAGTGAGAATTTAAACTTTCCTCTGAGGTTCTATTTTCCATTAGCCCTTTTCCTGGCCTCTCTGCTTCACATCTAGCCAAGGCCCAAGGAACAGGCAGGCCTGACCTCATCCCCTCCCTTTCATCCACCCAGAGAGCTCCTGAATGTTTTCTGAAATAATCATGGAAAAAAATGGGACGGGGAGTGGCTGGCTGCAACTATCCAGGGTCTCACCCAGTTCCTTCAGGGACAGGAGCCCACAGAGAAATGCTGGGAGAGTTCTGTTAGCTTTCTCTCCCCACTCACAGTCATGTGGTGTCGCTATCCCTATATCCCCGACACACACATGTACCCCTCAATATCAAATACTTGCCAGAGACTGCTCTCCCTGCAAGAGCTCCTGTCGGGCCTCTCCAGCTGCCCCAGCTCCTTCTTCCCCTCCTCACTAACTGGCCTCAGGAATCCTGGTAGGGTAGGGACTGAACRGCAAAGGGGTCAAGAGCATGACACTGGAAACAAATAGGTCTGCTTCACTAGTGGCACGCCACTTAACCTCTAGGTCGCAGATCCAAGATCTGTAAAATGGGCGTTCTTAACAGTACCTACCCCAAACATCCTTGTGAAGAGTGGAGGAATTAATGTGCTAGTGCTGAGGGTATTGTCCGACCAGCAACCAGGGCTGTGTTAATGTCAGTTCACTGCTCTCCTTGTTACTGAGGTCCAGGCAGCATAAGATGCAGGAGGAAAAGGCTAGGTTCAAACCCCAGCACACCACTGAGATCCTGTGTGACCTTGAATAAAATACCTCATTGCTCAGTTTCCTCCTGTGCAGGAGGACATTGATAGAACCTTCCCCAACAGGGGTAGGGGTAAGGGACAGGGCACCCAGCCCCCCAAAGAGTGTAGTAGCAGCTGCAGGGGGAGGAGCCAGGATCTTGGCACCTGATCCCCCAGATTAGCTGTTGTAACTCTGGGGCCAGTGGGGGGAACTGGTCTGACTTGGAAAGGAGAGCCAGGAATTTAGGTCTACGGGAGGAGCCATAAATAGCCAGAGCAGGTCAGAGGGCCTCCAGGGATGCCGGGGGGACATGACAGGAGGTGCTGTGGAAAAGGAAGCTGTCAGTCATCAAGGCACTCTCCCATCAGCCTCAAGGCACTCTCCCACAAGTTATAGGAAAACTATCCAGGGGTATGGTGGGGGCAAGGATCATCTCTTCAGGGAGAACAGTCAGGGACTCCCTCTGCGCCCTCTCCCAGGGTCTCTCAGAACTATTAGGAGAGTCAGAAAGCTCACCACCACTTACCTGTGCTCTGTGGTCTTTGCCATCCCCCCAACCTTGTCCTTCATTTTGATTCTTTTGACCATCCTGGAGGCGACAGCAGCAGTTAGCCCGTGTCATGGGAGGAAAACTGAGGCCCAGAGATGCAATTTAGCCAAGATCACACGAATCAGTGGCTGAGATAGGATTGTGAACATGAACTGTTTTTCCTCCTAATCCAGGGTATACCTGAAAGCCAAAATGTAAGAACCTGGGCTGGGCTATAGCTCAGTTGGTGGAGTGCTTGCCTTGCGTGCACAAGGTCCTGGGTTTGATCCCCGACACCAAAAAAAAAAAAAAAAAAAAAAGTAAGAACTTGCCCTCAGGAACGACCCCATCCCTACCAGGAAGAGTGAACTGACAGGAGTCTTCCTGTCAGAGAGTTTTCCTTGTCCTTAGTTGATCCAAGCGCATCAACTAAGGGAAAGGACTCCTGCTTCAAATGTGTCAGAGATGTTCATTAGCCCTGGAAATCAGGCTGAACTTAGGCTCAGAAGGCCTGGACTCAAATCCTTGGTGATCTTGTACAAATCATTTTGCCTCAGATCCCTAATGTGCAAAATGAGGGCATCATCCACACCTATGAGAGCCTGGGGTGAGGTCAATCCCCCAAGTGTCATAAAGACTGTTAAGTCCCTGCTCATGTATCTATGTATTCTTGGTATTTACTACACACAGAAGCCCTTGTGTCATTAAATAAAAGGATGAAGTAAACTCTTCGAAATTAAATGTTGTGAGTTTATGTGATGATAAATATTCTTTGCTATTCACCAGTTGCTACTATCTTTTCATGGTGGACATGGGCACTATTCCCTCTACCCTGTGCTTGATTCCTTTGAGAAAATGCCTACAAAATAATCTCTAGACAAGAATTAGTAACAGGCAGGGTGACATATAATTCACTGTCCACACTGAGACACTTTGGGGAGTCAAAGGGTTATGCCTAGATAGTAAGGAGGGAGCATAAGTGACCAGGCACCCTACCAACCCTGCACCATGCTGCTCGGAACTCTCTGGAGGCAGGAGTCCTCCGTAACCAACAGTCTCGGCTGCTCCTAGGCAGACCCTTGGAAAGGTACCCTATGTTCTTAGCACTGTCCAACCCCAAGTGAAGCTATGTTCAGGCCAGTTTCCTAGTGTTTTTCCATTCCTCATTTCAACCTGCAGATGACCCTGATCCCTCCCTTTCATTTTCCCGAGAATGTTCTAGTGTTGAGTTTACACTGCCCCAAACATGAAGACTTATGACCCCGGGAAGCACCTGTCAGGTGAGCTGCAAACTGGCCATCTTCTACTGCCTTTTAGCTCAAGGGCTTTTGCTTTTCCTCTCTGCAGTTTCAGCAGGCTTCTAACTGGTCTCTGCTATTGCTCCTTCCCACCACTGCCCCCATCACAATCAAGCAGCCAGGGGGATCCTGCAAAAACTAAGTTGGAGCATGTGTTTAATCTCTTCAGGGATAATGGCTTCCCATCTCACCCAAAGAAAAAGCCGAGGTCCTTGGAAGAGTCCATAGGGCCCCAGTCTCCTTAGCTCTTGCTCCCCTCTTTCGCCTTCTCTCCTAGGACTCTGCAGCCTTTGCTACCTTTGTTCCTCAAACACAGTAGGAACATTCCACCTCAGGGCATTTGCTTCTCTCCTAGGAACTTGAGCTTTCCCTTTAGAGATCCTTATGATTAGTTCCCTTGCCTCTTTCAGATCTTATCTCAATTCTTGTTCCCTGGCTAGCCTATGAAAAAGCAGTCTCACACCTTGCCCCTTTATCTTCCCTTCCCTGCCTTTTCTCCTTAGCCTTTAGCAACACCAAACATCATAAAGATAAATATTTTACTTACATTATTTATCATCCAACCCCTGCAAGCTCCATGAGGACAGGGACTTTCATTTGCTTTGTTCTTTACCATCACTTCAATACTAAAACAACACCTGGCATAGAGCAGATGCTCAGTTAAATATTTGTTAAATGAATCAAGGACTGACTGAGAGGGAGCATCGCAGGCAGGCTGAATGTTTATCTTCCRGACAGTCTGTGAATCTCCCCGTGTGCAGCATGGGTATAGCACACATGGTCTCCCACAGCAGTAGAGACGTTAAGTCTGATCTCGTGTGTAGACCACTAAACTCACCGCCAGGCCCATGTACAATCAATGCGCAGCTCCTGTCACTCCTGTTCCATTGGCCATGGCATCGTGGGTTCACAAAAGCCAAAGTAGCATCTACTCCCTTTGAGTCACAATTTACACACTCTTCCCAAATCATGTTTTTATCCTACCTCTCCTTGGGACTCTTCCTCCCTGAAGCCAGGTTCCCCCAGTAAAAATGGCTGGGCTCTCTGCAACCACCCCCTCTACAGCCTGCTTGAAACTCTGAGCTTCTCCTCCTAATCTCCAGATGTCTGCCCCGTGGCCCTTTCACAATCTCCCCTATGAGCTGGGGAGGTTGGAAACAAAGGGCAGAGGGAGAGGAAGGCAGGGAAGAGCAGGCCTCCCATGCCCACCTGCCAGCTTCCTGTCTTTTCAGACTGATAGATAGGGGATAGTAATGGCCAGAGTTTCCATTCCCCCACCCTGGCACCCTCTGTCACTCAATTAAAAAAAGATAGAGGGAGAGGGCCTGGGGGGGGAGGGGCAGGAGGCCCTGGTTATAAAGCCTGTCACTGAGGGACACAAGCACAAAGCCTGGCCAGCCAGGTCCTCTTTCGGTCATCCCCAGCCATACTTAGCTGCTGACAGCTGCTTGGGACTCTGCCGCCAGGCCCTGGCCCAGACCCGTAGCCTCTCCTCTCTCAGTAACTCCTGAACCACAGCCCCTCTATGGCCCAGARAGAAGAGGCTGCTGCGGCTGCTGCACCGGCCTCCCAAAATGGGGAGGACCTGGACGACCTGGAGAACCCCGAGAAGCTGAAGGAGCTCATTGAGCTGCCGCCTTTTGAGATCGTCACAGGGTGAGACTTGGACATGGGCCTGGGTCCTCCTCCCTAGGAGATTTTAGGCGTGGGGCAGGCTATGGACAGTTAGTATGTAAGAGCAGAGGTCAGGGTTAGCCACAGCTCTGGGAGAAGGCACCTGTGTACCTGGCAGGGGTCTTCAGGGTGTCTTGGCCTCTTGGGCACCAGTTTGGGCTCTCTCAGGAGAAGGGGAGGAACTCTTTGGAGGCAAGCACCCAAATATGAAACTGCCACTATGGCCTCCTGATATTGGGAGTCACCTGCCTTTCTGGAGARAGGTTTATTCCCAAGAAGTTTGGTAAGACTTGCACATTTTAAGATGCCCCAAAGTCATGTTCCCCCACCCCCCCCCCACCCCCACCACCACAACCACACACCTCATCTCTCTGCTCTGCTTCTGAGTAGGTCTCTCCTCTATGTTTATGTCTCTGGCACTTTCTTAGAGTTTCTCTCTGGAGTAGAAGATTTTAAGGCAGATCTATCCTTTTCCAAGGTTGAGAAACAGTTTTCACCTTATTAAGTCTCTTCTGAGTCTCCCCAGAGGCTGTCTGCTCCCCTCCCTAGGGAGAAAATCACAGCACAGATAACACAAGCCAGGGACTTCTGGACAGAGGAGCTGTTCCAATGAGCTCAGCTCAAGTGAGGCTGAGAAAACATCTAGAGGCTCCAGAGGGGGGCCATGAACAGGGTCCCTCTGTCCTGTCGATTGTGCCACTTCTAGGAATAAAATCAAGTGTCTTCCTCCTTTCCCCTCTCTTTCTATAGAGAAAGATCCTGCTGAATCTTTAAGAATCCTTTCGAAAGGAAAATGTGGGCCCACACTTTCTCCAGGTCCAGGATTTCCTTCACAGGGGGCTCCAGCACCGTGCACAGGCAGAGTGGGCACCCCACTGAGAGAAGTTTCAGAAAGAATGGAGGCACCATGCCCTCAAGGGTGGGAGGAGCCTGGGTGGTAATTTGAACTTGCTATTTGATGCTTGACAAGTGATTTTCCAGTCTTGGTTTTATCATTTCTAACTGGAGAAAGTTATGCTAGTTGACTTCTAGACCCCTTCTAGCTCAGATATTTTCTGATTTCTAAAGGAGCCTAAGGGAAAATGCAGCCTAGTTCCTGAGGTGTGAGTAGCCCTCGTACTTCCGTTTGCCCATACTCAACCAGCTAATCGTACCCTCATCCTAGGATTAGGGGAGCAGCTGGGCACAGACTAATATAGACACAGGGAAAGCCTAGGGCAACCAGGCCAGGGGCATCCTCAATTCCAGGGGCTCTTGTGGAAGATCCTTTTTCTAACACCTCAGCATGCTAAGCCACGCTGTCTTTGCTCACACACACCCCACTGCATGCAGCACTGTGCTCTCCCTAGCACAGGAGCTAAATTAGACTATCGAGATGAACATGCTCTGGGTCCCGTGGAAGTGGGTCCTGAGGGTTAAGTCCTCTGATGTAACTGACATTTGTCAGGGCTTTAAAATCACTCATGCTTTCAAGTGAATGAGCTCATTCAAATCCTCAGCAGATGCTAGGAGAGGGAGATTGATTATTGCCCCTTACAGCAGGGGAAACTGAGACTCAGGGAGACTTGGTGACATGTTCAAGGCCACAGAACCAGGAAGTAGCAGATCTTCTGACCACCAGAGTCAAGTTTCTTGGCCACTGGTCTCTTTTTACTTGATTTTATTTTTGCCACTTGTCTCCTATCATCCTGGATCCATCTGCAAGGTAGTGAGGGTCAGAGGCTTCCCATGACCCAAGGCTCAGAGAAACAGGCAAAGCAAGCAGCTTTCTGCACACTCTGAGCGCATTTCAGGTGGAAGGTGGAGCCTGAGTCTTTTCTGGCCACAAGCAACAGCTGTGGAGATCTGTTTCCTTGGCCCCTCTGGGTAAACAGATGCTTAAAATAGCCCAGAGGTGGAGCTATGACTGTTGCTGGGACAAGGGRAGGAAACAGTTTTCCCTTCTACATGCCCAGAAATCCAAGGGACCAGCAAAGCCAGTCCTCTCCTAGCCTGGACTCCCTCAGGGTATGGATCCAAAATACTCTCTGTATTTTTGGGCTGGAAACCAGCAGAAGAGAGATGGCTTTTCAGAGAATAGTCCGAAAAAAGGGGTAGCTGGTAAGGA